TCGAAGGAACCATTTTCACATGAAATTTTACCAAAAATTATGTTGCCAGGTTTTTATGCCAAATTCATCTAGACGCTAAACCAAGAGAAAAGAACCAAACCTCGTGAAAATCGGATGAGAGTTGACCGAGTTATGGGGGTGGTAAATTTTGACCAATGTCTATATATGATATTTTGACGATGTTCGAGGTAACCATTTTCACATGAAATTTGACCAAAAATCATGTTGCCAGGGTTTGATGCCAGATTCATCTAGAGGCTAAACCAAGAGAAAAGAACCAAACCTCGTGAAAATCGGATGAGATTTGACCGAGTTATGGGGGTGGGAAATTTTGACCAATGTCTATATATGATATTTTGACGATGTTCGAGGGAACCATTTTCACATGAAATTTGACCAAAAATCATGTTGCCAGGTTTTGATGCCAAAATGATCTAGAGGCTAAACCAAGAGAAAAGAACCAAACCTCGTGAAAATCGGATGAGATTTGACCGAGTTATGGGGGTGGGAAATTTTGACCAATGTCTATATATGATATTTTGACGATGTTCGAGGGAACCATTTTCACATGAAATTTGACCAAAAATCATGTTGCCAGGGTTTGATGCCAAATTCATCTAGAGGCTAAACCAAGAGAAAAGAACCAAACCTCGTGAAAATCGGATGAGATTTGACAGAGTTGCGGGGGTGAGAAATTTTCACCAATGTCTATATATGATATTTTGACGATGTTCGAGGGAACCATTTTCACATGAAATTTGACCAAAAATCATGTTGCCGGGTTTTGATGCCAAAATGATCTAGAGGCTAAACCAAGAGAAAAGAGCCAAACTTCGTGAAAATTGGTTGAGATTTGACCGAGTTATGGGGGTGGGAAATTTTGACCAATGTCTATATATAATATTTTGACGATGTTCGAAGGAACCATTTTCACATGAAATTTTACCAAAAATTATGTTGCCAGGTTTTTATGCCAAATTCATCTAGACGCTAAACCAAGAGAAAAGAACCAAACCATTTTCACATGAAATTTGACCAAAAATCATGTTGCCGGGTTTTGATGCCAAAATGATCTAGAGGCTAAACCAAGAGAAAAGAACCAAACCTCGTGAAAATCGGATGAGATTTGACCGAGTTATGGGGGTGGGAAATTTTGACCAATGTCTATATATGATATTTTGACGATGTTCGAGGGAACCATTTTCACATGAAATTTGACCAAAAATCATGTTGCCGGGTTTTGATGCCAAAATGATCTAGAGGCTAAACCAAGAGAAAGGAACCAAACCTCGTGAAAATCTGATGAGATTTGACCGAGTTATGGGGGTAAGAAATTTTGACCAATGTCTATATATGATATTTTGACGGTGTTCGAGGGAACCATTTTCACATGAAATTTGACCAAAAATCATGTTGCCAGGGTTTGATGCCAAATTCATCTAGAGGCTAAACCAAGAGAAAAGAACCAAACCTCGTGAAAATTGGATGAGATTTGACAGAGTTGTGGGGGTGAGAAATTTTCACCAATGTCTATATATGATATTTTGACGATGTTCGAGGGAACCATTTTCACATGAAATTTGACCAAAAATCATGTTGCCGGGGTTTGATGCCAAAATGATCTAGAGGCTAAACCAAGAGAAAAGAGCCAAACTTCGTGAAAATTGGTTGAGATTTGACCGAGTTATGGGGGTGGGAAATTTTGACCAATGTCTATATATAATATTTTGACGATGTTCGAAGGAACCATTTTCACATGAAATTTTACCAAAAATTATGTTGCCAGGTTTTTATGCCAAATTCATCTAGACGCTAAACCAAGAGAAAAGAACCAAACCTCGTGAAAATCGGATGAGAGTTGACCGAGTTATGGGGGTGGTAAATTTTGACCAATGTCTATATATGATATTTTGACGATGTTCGAGGTAACCATTTTCACATGAAATTTGACCAAAAATCATGTTGCCAGGGTTTGATGCCAGATTCATCTAGAGGCTAAACCAAGAGAAAAGAACCAAACCTCGTGAAAATCGGATGAGATTTGACCGAGTTATGGGGGTGGGAAATTTTGACCAATGTCTATATATGATATTTTGACGATGTTCGAGGGAACCATTTTCACATGAAATTTGACCAAAAATCATGTTGCCGGGTTTTGATGCCAAAATGATCTAGAGGCTAAGCCAAGAGAAAAGAACCAAACTTCGTGAACATCGGATGAGATTTGACCGAGTTATGGGGGTGGGAAATTTTGACCAATGTCTATATATGTCTATATATTTTGACGATGTTCGAGGGAACCATTTTCACATGAAATTTGACCAAAAATCATGTTGCCAGGGTTTGATGCCAGATTCATCTAGAGGCTAAACCAAGAGAAAAGAACCAAACCTCGTGAAAATCGGATGAGATTTGACCGAGTTATGGGGGTGGGAAATTTTGACCAATGTCTATATATGATATTTTGACGACGTTCGAGGGAACCATTTTCACATGAAATTTGACCAAAAATCATGTTGCCGGGTTTTGATGCCAAAATGATCTAGAGGCTAAACCAAGAGAAAAGAACCAAACCTCGTGAAAATTGGATGAGATTTGACCGAGTTATGGGGGTGGGAAGGCTTTGCACTTGGGGAATATACATATATTTATGTCTCTGTCTTTTGTCTCTTTTCTGTTGTCCTTCTGCCTGTTATATGTGTATTTCTCGTTGAATACCTCTTTCTTTCTGAGAAAAAAACCTACTTGTGAAACTGTATTTTTCAATTTGATATACTTATTTATCAACATACTTTAATAATAATAATAAATAATGAATATATCTAACAATATAAATTGAACATTTACAAAGGCTAACACCTTGCATTACTTTCTTTTTGGTTTTGACAACTAAGTTGACGCAAATTCGTTTTGAAGTTTGCACCTTTTGGTTTGGAGTACAACTTTTAGTAGTTTTACTTATTTCGTAAAGCCTTTAATTTTAAATCCACTTCCAAAGAGATCTTATTAACTTTTAACACCTTCAATAATCTCCAAGTTTGTGCACTTCGTGTCCATCTCTTGCTTCTATAGGAACGCAAGCTGACTCTTAACAACATTTGGACAAAACTTCCAACAATTTGGTGCGTAACACATAAGGGCAAAAGTTTTAACAATAAAACTATTTCTACTTATTTTCATTGTTGTTCCTGCATATATATGTGTATATGTGTATATATATGCATGTGTATGTGTATATGTATTTATTTATATGTGTCTGGCTCTGAGTGTTTTTGTCGTCCCTGCAGCTGACCGCAAAAGCCACAACAAACAAATGCAATAAAAATAAATATAAAAATAATTATGAATAGAAAAGTTGGCAGCCGAGAGAAAAAAAAAAAACACAACTCCCGTTCGCCTTCATTCAATTTTTTCTTGCCTTTGTTTATGATCTTAACTCAAATTAGAAATACAATTTGTAGCAGCCGCAACAAAAGTCGCCAAAGACAAGGGGCGACACTTGAAAGTGGTTTTAATGAAATGTCCATGCAGCAGCGTCTTTGAAGCTGCCCGGAAAAGCAGGTCAAGCAACAAAACACACAAGAAACGGAAGCAAAACGAATATTATGATAAGGAGACCACAAAAAAAGCGAGCCGAAGGGCGGCAAGAGGAATGCGCCGCATTGAAGTGCGGCTTCACATCGAGTGGGTTGTGGACAGTCATTAAAATGGAACTCGCGCAAATTATGCAGTCCGAAAAAAATGATAAAGAAAAAAAAAGCGCTGAAGAACTGACAAGACAAGGGTTGTAGTTGGGAGGGTGCGGTGGGGGGTGGTTGAAGGTTAAGGGTTGAGGGTTGCGGGTCGGGGGCAGGCAGCCAAAATATGTCGCCGATGTTAAGTGCTTCATTTAATTAACAAAGTTGACATGAAAGCGTGGCGCGCGCTCCATTGGGGAAAACCCATCCGCACGCTTGCACCCAGCCACTCCCCCCCCCCTTCTTCCCTTCTTTTTTCTGCTCCCTTTTTGTTGTATATTGCCTCAGTTGTTTGCGCTGCTTTTCTTTTGCTATTAATTGTTTGTGTGAGTTGGACAGACAACACGTGGCGTATACGCATTGCCATATTACTCATACGCCAGGTGTGCTTGTGAGTTCTTTATACTCTGTTAAATTTGATTAGAAATTCGTATGTTATAAGTTTCGATTTTGACTGCTGGTAGGCGCTTCACATTGTATTCGACAGCAGATCAAAAGCTCGCATATTGTACAGTACGCAGTTTAATTAATTGCCGAATAGCCACACCCCCATCCCCAACTACCCCCACCCAACCGCCCACGGCTCTTGTTTGTCTGTTGCGTATCTTGCAGTTACAATCTCTGGCTATTATTGAACAACAGCTGCGCATTTCTCAGAGCCTGGCCGTAAAAGTGCGAATGATATCGGTTGAACAAAATGTGCGTATTATTATTATTATTATGATATTTAGTACGCTCTTATTTATTTGCTATCTTGTATCTCGGGGCGTTCATAAACAACGCGTCATATTTGCATTTCATCACTTGCACAAATATGCCAGCGTGATTTTTGGCATTTTTTCATGTTCATAAAAACATGTCACAACGAATACCACAAAAGCAAATAATATTGACACACAAAATATATCAACGCAATTTAATTTGCTTAAGTGTGCAGGTAAATGAAGTAAATACGGTAAAGGTCGTGAGTTTCAAGGCTGAAAAGTTTTTTGGCACTATTTATAATGCAAAATGGAATTATAAAAATGAGTTGAGGGAGAAATTGGAGGAGACATTCAATAAGTGAAATATTTGCAATCTTTAAGTTCTTATAACATCGAAGTTTTTACTATTTATTCTATGCTATTCTATTTGGTTGCTCAGCTCTGGCTGATACAGAAAATATATACACTTCGTGAGGTCGGAGATTGTTATTTTGCCTTACACAAAAATATAAGAAAATATATATGTTTTTCATTAAGTTCTTATATAGGTATAATAAGCTTCAATCCGAATGGAGAAAGGCTGCAACCTCGCCCGTACAACTACTGACTTTCCTATTTTAACAATGAGGTGTGGAATTTCCGAAAAGCGTGAAACACGTCTCATATTCATTTTCTTTACACCCAAAACTGCGCCCATTCAACACTCGACACGCGATTATCAAGGAAGCGGAGTGGGTTTTCCTAAAAGTGTGAAATGAATTTGAAGAAAGATCTGTGTAACTGTGTTTAACGCCGATCGAATTGTAAATATCGCGACTTTTCCACACTTGCGAGTGGAATTACTAAAAAGCCCGCATTTGCGTGAAACTTCATCGCATAAGTTAACCATAGTGAAATGTCGGCAGGCAACGTGAATACCCTTACGCTCGCCTTGAATATTTTAACCGCGCTTGCCTTGAATATTAACAAACTAATTAAGCTATGCATTAAAATACATTTCAGATAACTGTAACTTTTTCAGGTACGATAATTTTGCCTCAAAACTAATGCATGTTAAATGATTAACGATAAATGCGTATAAAAATGAAATAACAATTAAAATATTTGCGTCATAAACTGCATAATAAATCATAAATTTATCATTACAAATTATTGCAAGGTAATTATTATGGGAACTCACCTGTCAAGGTGGCAATCCTTTTTATTTTCGTTTCGCGCAGCTCGTTTTTATGTTTGCAGAATTTTACACATGAAATAATTTAGTTTTTATGAAATTGTCGCGTTTTATCTATTTCCTTTTTTTTTTTCAAAGTAAATTCCTTGTTATGATATTTATTTAAGCAGAATTTTGTGCACTATTTGGACGCTTTTTTATTTGTGTGGCAGCTGCAGCAGCGAAAAACATTGAGGCGTATTTAATGTGGCATGGCTAAACGATCGTAAAAAACATGGTTAAAATGCTTTCAGAGGAAACATGTGTGTTGCTGTGTGTGTGTGTTGGTGTGTGTGTCGGTGTGTGTGTGTGCAACAGTTGCCATTTTATGGCTGTGGCAATAATAAAAATAAAATTAAATTGCAGACCACGCAACAGTTTGCAATTATGTGCAAATGCACATGGCCCTTGGCCAGAAGTCCAGTCTAGTAAACGTTAAGCAGACGCTCAGCTCTTGGCCAATTTGTTGTTAATTGTTTTAGCTGCTGCCGCAGCTACTACTGCTGTTACATTTATTTCAATTGAACTTTAGTTTTGAATTTTGTCGCACTTGTTGTCACAGCGCGCACTTTTACAGCTGATGTGAGTGCACTCACAATGGCCATTCATTTAGTCACTTTATTCATCAGCAACTCCTTCACACTGTTACAACTTTTTTATAGCTGTTGATTGCGATTACTTTTTGCCTATCCGCTTTGCTACTGCTAGTGCAACCTTCTGCGACGCCAGCCAACTGCGAACTGAACTGCTCCAGTTTCGTATTTCACCTTATAAAGTGAAGCGAAGCGTCGCTGCTCCCGTGTTATCCTTATAGGCGAGTCCCGACTGGCTGTGCCCGTCTGCTTCCAGCTAGCCGTTGGTTTGATAAGAAGCCACATTGGTGTGCGTGTGCTTCTCGCTCTCGCCTCGCACACTGCTGAGCGCATGGGAGAGTGCGAGAGCGTGAGCGGAGCTATTGGAAAGTCAGAGAGTATTTGGCGATGTTTCTCTTTGACAAGCTTTCGCAAGAAGTTGTGTTTGGCTGTTAGAAAGATTTGAAAATATTAATTTCTTAAAAAAAATTGATTAACATAATTAACAATTATAAACAAAATTGAAAAAAGAAAATAAAATTTATTTATTTTAAAAATACATCGAATTAAAATCAATTTTAATATTATGTATTACTCTTTCCAATCTGAGCAACTTTTATGATGTTAATTTATTATTCGTATTTTTCAAAACGTATTTTGTTGCAAATTAAATATTTGGTTGAAAGATTTTTATCAAATTTTTTTAAAATGTTTATTTATTATTATTTTATTTTTTTTTTCATTTAATTCGTTATAATCTTTTAATGATTTTTACATAATTAAAATTTTTATTGTTCAAATTATTTTTTTCCTTTTGTAGTTTTTAATTTTAACTTTTATTTAAATTTTAGTTTTGATTGATAAAATACTTTTGTCTAATAATTTAGTGCTCCTCATTCTCCTCATTATCCATTTTTTTTTATAATTTCACCAATTCCTTTTTTTTATTTTTTATTTCATAATTTTCTTGCCCATTTATTTTATTTTTAGTTATTTTTCAACTTCAAATTTCCTGTTTTCTGTTAAAACGCAGTTAGATTTATCTAGCTATTTCGCTCGCTCATCGTGCCTCTCTCTCACACACGCACACACGCACTCCATTTTTCATGCTACGCAGTTTCGAGTTTTGGGTGTGAGCTTTCATGAATGAACACCCTCCTGTTGCATTTGTTTTTATTGTAAAATGTAGGTGAGCATCTGGCTGGCTCTCGTTCTCCCGCTCACACTTACACACACTCACACACAGACAAGTGCCTGGCCCTGAAGTTCAAGATGAAGGTTATGCAGCAACAACCAAGCAAAAACTCGAACGTAAAAGTTGCACACGAGCGTATGTATGTGTGAGTGTGTGTGTGTGTGTGTGTGCGTGTGTTGGGGAACGCGAGCTTTTGCTCTCACGCGCTCATTCTATGTTAGTCGTGCGCTCTCGTTCTGACGCTCGCCTAAAACATCGCTCACTGCTAACATGTTGCTGTCCAGCTCGCGAGTCGCGACATTCGCGTCGTTTTGTTTTGTTTTCAGTGTTCGCTTTTTGAATTACTTTTTTGTGTGCGTGTGTCTCTTTGTGTGTGTGTGTGTGAGTGTGTGCGAGCGTTGAGCGACACCAAGCAATGGCGCTGCCTGCATTCCTTTCCCCCCTTGTGCTTCTTTGTAGCCCTAGCTGTTTCTTTGGTTACGCATTTCTTCTGGCGCCCGCCTTGTGACCCAATTTCGTGCCTTCACGTACACGGCGCTCAGCTTGAACAGTTGGCATCGGACACAGGCAGCGCCAACGGCAGCGGCATGCCTGGCATTAAAGGCATTTGGTTTGCCCACAGATTTTGCAGTCATTCCTTGCGCTTGATTGGCTTTGTGCCTTTTTTTGTGTGCTATCACATTTTGAGCGTGAAACAACAACAATCAGAGCAGCAGCAGCAGCATAGGGGCGGGGAGGGATTGTAGGCAGGGAATTGAAGCTCACATATTTGCATAGTGCATGAGGGCGTGAGGGCTTGCTACGTGGCGTATGCTTGATGCTCGCTTGCTGCCAATTACTTGTCAACATGTCGCGCTCCAGCAGCCAACCAACTAACTGTGATTGATTGTCTATACGTGTGTGTGCGGGTGTGCGAGTGTGTGTGTGTGTGTGTGTATGTGTGCGGGTGTCTTTGTATTGTTGTCACTGCATAGCTGAATGGGCAGCTAGCTACCAAAACTGCAGCCCGGCTGCCAAGCAACTAAAAACTAAGCAACTGAGAATGCTTTAGTTGAGTGTGCCCGACTAAGAAATACCCTGTTATGCCAGCTTAATATATAGTTTATAAGCTATGTTTTCTAATACCCTTTTCTCTGAAAATATATTTCCAAAAAACTTCTGTGTTTTCCTTCTATAAACATCAACTTTTCAGGTTTCACCTCTATAAGAGATTTTACTCAATACTTGTTTCAATTTTGAGTCTTACTCTTAATATTTCTTATCTGGGTATATCTCACTGTCTGTAAGATATTTAACAATTTTCAAGAGATGTAATAATGGCATTGCAGCTGCCTAGTTCTTCTCCCTTACAGACAGTTGCACAAATCAAGTATACGCCCCTTTATCCATTTTAAATTCTTAAAGGGTATTAAAACATGGCCAGCAAGTTGTTGTTGTTGTTGTTGTCTAAAGTGACATTTCAAAGGACAACTGCACTTGAAATTAAACCGCTTGAGAAGACGGCAACAACGCTGCACACTGTGAAAATGATAAAAGTTTTTTGGACGCTGGGCGCTATCTTTTCTTAATTTGAGTTGGCCCAGTTAACAACTTAGCCCAGTCAATGATGTGAACTTTAGAACTTTGATTGGCTGACTGGCACACAGAAAGACACACACACACACGCACAAAGTATACGAATATAAATCTATATTAACACTGAAAGAAAAACATTATTGCATTTAAATGCAAATGAGAAGGGGTTAAGATTTTTAAAGATTAATTTTTATAATTTCTGGCAAATTTTGTTCTTGGATGTTCTAAATTTATATAAATAAAACAAACTATAATATTAAGAAAATAGCTTGGAATAGGAAAAAAGAAATGTGAGTCATTTTAATAGACGGAAAACGAATTATTTTAGAATTCTGGACTTTAAACCTGTACTTAAGCATTTGGTAATTAGAAATATTTTATACAATTTAAAACTATGTTTTTAATCCAAGAAATTTCGGACTGGACTTGATTTTGATGATGTTTTGCTTTGATTTGAGCACAAAACTCTTGATTATTGTATTTTGTTATAAAGAGTATAGAATAGTGCTACAATGATGATGCTCTATACATAGCTTTATCTAAAATAATACTAATTTCATATACAAGCCTGCTATTGTTGCCTAACTGACCAGCTCACTTTCAGAAAAATTCTAGTGTAGTTTTCTCCAAGTGTAGACAAGAATTTAGTTGAGTCTTAGCCATGCTGTGGAGACTGCAGAGACAAATCCGGTGCCTCATTAAAAACATAATCCAACAGCTGGGATAACTTAATTTGTGCTTGAGCAGAAATGCCAGGATACAAGAGCCGGAATGCTCCGCAGGCTGCCCTTAAGTGCATTTTGTTCTACAGTTGCAGCCAAAGCGCAGCCGGGTGGCATTTAAGCTGATAAGCCCCCGGGCCTGGCTTAGACAAATGCAAATGCAAAATTGTTGCTACAACGAAATGTCAGCTATTTGTATGGCCATGGGCAGCAACAACAATTGCGAAAATAGATTCACATTGCGGCATATAAATCACAGTTACTAATTATGCTTTCATTTCGACCCGGTTTACGCAATCTAATCAGATCTGGACTCCGGACAGGCCCAGGAAAAACGTCGAGTAAATACCAAAGCCAAATGCCAATGTTGCCTAGACACGCAAAGAAGAAAATACAGTCCGAAAATAAAAAGCAAAAAAAAAAAATGAAAACATTTTGTGGTGCTGTGACTATGGCCATTATCACACAACTCACATAAATAAACCAGGTCAAAGTTTAAACGGTTTTTCAGTGCTCAGCGATGCGCACGTGAAAATTAAGGTAAAAGTGCAAAGCAAAACAAAATGAGCAGTGGGAGCTATTTTTATTAGCTAAAGTATCCCCCAAATCCCCACATCAGATAATGAAAGCATTTTGAGAGTTGAAAAAACGAGGTATTTTCCGCGCTTCAGTTTCCATTTTTAATTTGCTTAAATTAAAACCAAAATAAAGTTTTAGATACCGAATTTCCACTCAGTTTTAATATCTGGGTAGTACTCTCCACGCTTTTAAATTTTCCTTAAATTTGGGAAATTCGTTTCGAATTTTCTTATTTTGCATAGTTTTTCAAAAGAGCGAACATTTTTCGATTTTTCCTCAACGTAACCCAATTTGTTCGCAGTTTCCTTCAATTTAAATACTTTGTGAATTTCCCTGTAAGTTTCCTAACGAATTTCCCTAATTTAATAAAGTTTTGCCACAGTTGACATTCTTCTAATTATCTATAACGATTTCACCTTTACTTAAGCACTTATTATTTTCTGACTCAAGCAAGCAATTGAAATCCACTTGTGAAACTAAGAAACGCAGCAGTTGAGGGAAATTCACTCACGTTTGCAAAAACGCAAATTTAGGGAAATTCACATTTACAGCCATATATTCAATTTTCACATGGTTGTAAAGACTTTTCCATTTTCACACTATAATTTATGGTCACACTTTAAATGCGCTTCACGCGGCCATCTCTAATTAGGCAAAATAAAAAGTGTAGCATATTTTAGTGGGCAGACTTTTAATGTGTGCGCCACACGTTGCGACAGTCGCGATAAAGCGACTCGATAGAATATCTGCCCACGCCCCAAATTGAGGCCGTTGAAATAACTTTAATACGTTGGCCTGACAGTTGTCGTTGCTCCGGTTCTTGTTGTTGTTGTTGTTGTTGTTGTTGTTTATTTGTCTACTGTTACTTTCGCTTTGGCTGCTTTCAAGGGTGTGACCGCATTTGCACCTGAGGTCGGTCACGAAGACTTCGCCTTTAGCGACGTTTCTTGTTGTTGTTGTCTGTGGCGCAGTTTAATTAAAGTTTAGTTTACTTGAAATTTCGTTGCTCATATTATTGCTTTATTTAGTGAACCGTTGCCAAGCCCTGACCCTTTAACCCTCGCTGCGTTACTCTTTAATCCGGCTGCTTGAGTAATTTATTTGACTCCTAAGCATTGCAGCAAATTGTGCGCACGTGGCGTATGCGTGTTATTTTCATTTAATTCTCCAGACTTGTGCAACGCCTGCAGTTTTGGGCCCTTTATACCCTTTGATACACTGTATTTATTTTTTATGACAATAATCGAAAACCTTTTTTTCCTTGCCAATTTCTTTTGATTCGATTTCTTTCTCTTTTTTTTTTTTTGCTTTGTCTGCCAACTTTTGTCACGTAAATCAATTAAGCAACGGTTCAAGCAAACTTATTGGATGGCATAAAAAAGTCTCGAACAGGTTTCAGACAAAGGCAAAAACACAAAAAAAAATTAAACAATTCGCCAGCTGAGCTTGCTCGTTCGCACGCTACTCTGTACAAGCAATAAGCTACATCCGTTTACAAAAGGAAAATGTTTTAATTGGCTCGCAAATGTGCTTTAAAAACACATTCAATATGCCCGATTTGAGCGCATTTCCAGTGTAAAAAGGTTATCTGTGTGAAAAGTGTGAAATTCGCAGCTGTCAGTACATTCAAGATGAGTTGGTTCAGGTGCCCGAAGCAGACAAATAGCGTAGCAGAGAATAGCCGAAAAGTTCTCGAACAATACAAATCATAGAAAAACTGCCGACTTTTCAGCTTAAATAAAGTAATGTTTTAAAGTGGGCTATGCCACACACCCACAAAAGCAGGTGAATTCGATAGAAGCCTCAAGGTTGCAGTCAATAGAATTTGTATTTGTATGTGGTCCCATTTGGCCCGGCAGACTTGGCCAATTTGCAACGCCGTCTGGTCGAGCTTTGCGTGCGCGTCCTTTTGGCCAGAAAAAAAAAAAAACACGTTGATCGATGGCGGGCAGAAATTATGGGCAAAGATATTGTGACACGCGAGTCCATTTTGTTCAGACAGTTTATGCCATTTGCATGGGAATTGGTAATTTTCATTTAAGTTTATTAACTAATTGCATTCGCACTCGCTAATGGAAAACGCGCTCGACAATGTCATATAAAATGGTTAATTTATTACGCGTCCCACACGGCGCATGCTTGATATTTAAATCAATGTCGACAAATTGCGGTAGAAAACCAATTAACAAAATGCCCAACGACATTGTCAATGTGTAAAAAAGCTTATTCAATGGGACAGCAACAACAGACGTTGCATGCGGCAGGCTGCAAGTGAGCTTCATATATGAAACAAAGCTGCAGCTGACAGCTTCCAGTTGCTAACTTTTCTCAATTAGCCAAAAGTTGGACACGGAATTATTTAGTGGCACCATGGAAAATGGGGCCTTCTTTACAGTAAAAACTTGCCGAGACGAACAAACTCTTTAGCCGAGCAATTTATTTGGTGCCCATCACTTCGACTTCCTTTTGACTAAAGTCTGGCACAAAAAGTTTAACTGGAAAGAACAAACTGGTTTCTTGATGATACAAAATTGAATGAAAGCAATGAATCCTGATGAAAAGTTTGAAAAAAATACAACAGTAAGTCTTATTACACTCACATCTATACCACTTCCCCCATTTTCCACGTTTGTCGGTGGAAAACGTAAATAAAGCGTTGCACAGCAACAAAAATGATTTGTGAATCAGTTTGCGCCTCGAAATAATGCCTCGCTTTAGGTTTTATTTGTTAAGTCGATTTTCCTGATCTATTAACAAAGATTTCGTTTTGAACAAAATATATTTATTCTTAATCAGTAATTCGAAACTATTATCATTTCGAAACTAAGTATTATCATGATACTTTGCCTAGTTCTCGCTTTCTGCTGCAGCCAGTACATATGAACGTTAATCGGAATCGGAATATTAATCATATATATGCCATAGGAAAGATTGGTGCTTGTATTAAAAAACTTATCTGTTCATCAAATCAACTCAACCGAGCTCAGCAATTATGAGCTTTTACCTGCCTACATCAACCTTTTCAATCTGTTTGCTGTAGTTTATCTTTTTGGTGCACATATTTTTTTACAGTGTAAGCACTTTCATTAACTTGTTTGTTGCTTATTATATTGGCCAAAGTTATGGGCAGCTAATTAGCTGGAGGACAAAAGCGGCAGTTAGGTGGAAATGCTTTCAGGGCGAAAGCTTGAATAACTGTTGCTTGCTTGAAGGATATCCTGCCTATTCTGTTTGCCTTTCAATGCAGCATACACCCACACACACACACACACACACACACACACACACACACACACACACACACACACACACTCACATAATTGCGATACACTCTTTGTGTACCTTGCATAATCGCAAGAGCAAGCTACAAAGGCAAACACGGAAACAACTTGTTGCAACTACAGCAACAACAAGCACGTGTGTGTGTGTGTGTGTGTGTGTGTGTGGGTGTGTGCCTGTGTCTGTTTGCTACAACAAAAGCGAGACACAGGTTTTGAGTGTTGCGCTCAGCACACGTTATAAATAATTTATGTTGTTTGCGCAGCAGGTGTACAAAATTCATGCCACTTCGGACCTTGTGCTAAGAGCGGCTCCTTCAAAAATCCTTCAAAAACAAACTCAAAATACTTAAGATGTGTGTATCTAAATTAAAGCAAGAAATTATTAATTTAAACTTTATGCTTATGCCAACATTAACAAACTTTAAGCGGGCTCAGTGTTTCTCTTAAAAATTTAAATATTTGTTTTTCATCCATTTTTCACTCATGGACCAGAAAGGGTTGGAATTACTTGATATTGAGTGCGACTCGAATCGATTGGAACTTTATCGGAATCAACAATACCAAAACGAAAGCGATTTACAATCTATCCAAATTCACATTTTAAACCGTATTAAAATCTAAAAAAAGGCTCGAGTATTATTAGGACAACAACAAAACTGTAAGTTTTGACCATTGAAAAGTGGGAATCACAACTTTTAGACAAGGATATAGATATATTCAGCAATTTAAGTTGATGTCTTAAATCAGTAAAATCCGTTTCAAACCTCTTTGCTAACTTATATTACAATTCCCTCCATATTCCACGCTTGCCGGTGGAAAGCGTAACTAAAGCGTTTCTCTTGAAACGATGAATCACAAAACCAATCAAAAAAATAAGGCAGTATAATAACATCTATACATCTATACCATTCCCTCCATATTCCACGCATGTTAGTGGAAAGCGTAACTGACGCGATTCGCTTGAAACGATGAATCGCAAATCAACATTCATCCTTTTTCCTTACACCAATAGTTAATTAGTGTAAAGCTACTGGCACATTAGCTCTCAGCCCTGACCCGTTTACAGTGCAAGTCAAACAGCAAATCGTAATTCAATTAAATTTATTTAATTGGTTGCGCATTTTGCAAATAACAACTCGTTCATCATAAAGGACCCGCACTAGGGCTTTTATCGATGAACAACAATGGCCATAAGCACTTTTACATATTGTAAATAAAACAAAGCGCAATTGTAACATGCACAAAACATACGTGTGTAACTATAGCGCAGAATAAAACAATGCCAAAAACAGAACAAACAAATGGCAACGCCGGATGCGAATGCGAATGTGAATGCGAATAGGAATGGGAATGTGAATGCGAATGCGAATGCCCAAATGCGTGTAGGTGTGGGTGAGGGGCGCGGGACGGGGCGCGGTAATTGAAATGCCGTTGTGCGCAGCGAGTGCCCCTGCCGTTTCCGCTAAGCACAGGCAATCAGACATAGGCACGGCCAACACCAAACCGAACCAACCAACCCCCCCCCCCCCCCCCTCCTCCTCCACCCTTACATCAAACCAACGGTCCTCGATCTGCTCCAAAAGCAAATCAAACTCAAGGACAGCGACCGCCACAATTTCAAACAATGTAACAAGGGATGCGTGCTAAAGTCGAGCGTGCCCGACTAACTAAATACCCTATTTCATACAAACAACAGTTAATTGGGGCAGCACCTTGCTTTTTCCAAGCATCCAACTATGCGAAATATTATTTTAAACAACTAAATTTGTTGTCCGATAGATAAACACAAATATTTAAATAACAATAATAATATATACATATATAAATAAAAACTTATAAGTTTGTAAACGAGACGCCTTATACAAAACGTAAAGTCTGCACAGTCTTCAAACGGACGAACAGAGGAACAGATGGAGAGAAAGAAATAGCGGGATCAACCCAGCTGCATATATGTATGGTGTCGGAGCTGCCACCTTTTTGCCTGTTACATAAATATATGTAAGTCTTTGCTTCTGCAATGTCTTCAAACGGACGAACAGAGAAACAGACGGAGAGAAAGAAATAGCGGGATCAACGCAGCTGTATGTATGTATGGTGTCGGAGCAGCCACCTTTTTGCCTGTTACATAAATATATGTAAGTCTTTGCTTCTGCAATGTCTTCAAACGGACGAACAGAGAAACAGACGGAGAGAAAGAAATAGCGGGATCAACGCAGCTGTATGTATGTATGGTGTCGGAGCAGCCACCTTTTTGCCTGTTACATAAATATAAACAGCTACAATATACCGCAATTTAAACGTTTTCAATGAGCAGCGGACAGAACAGGCAACGCAATGTAAAAAGCGAAGGCTTTTCATTTTGCAATTTCTAAACAGCTGCCAATGCTTTTTTCCGGCCACCGTTGTTGCCATGACGTCCTGTTGCCGCGATAAGCCTTTGCCTTTTGTTTTAGCAGGACGCCACGAATTGATGCCGCTCCACGCGGCGCCCTTTTAATGGACAGCCATTAGACGCAAGCCTTAACTTTAGCACACCATAAAAGCACAGAAACAAAACGCAGTTACTTACGTGACGTGCATGCTGGGGATTAACGCATGCAGCTTGGATTAAAAGTCCCGTGCAACAATTTTAAAATACAGTATGTCAATAAAGTGTTTTTACTAACAAAAAAAAACTAATTTTTTGGGTTTAGTTGAAAATAAATGTACCTAAAAGTGAGAATTTTTTTTCAATTATAATTTATTTCGATTCTATATTTCTCCTAGAACTTAATGGCAAAAAGAATTGTTAAATAACATTACCCAAACATTTTATAAAATTAAAAAACTAAAAACATTCACATTTTATGCTGTCAATAAAGTGTTTTTACAGCTACGGTAAATTGTTTTGCCGTTCTCTTTTGGGTGATCCCGTTAGATTTGGGCCCATGCGTTTTGGCTTCTCTTGTGTCTTCGACTTTTCTTGTCATTTTCTATTGCAATTTATAACGTTTTGCTTTAATTTTATGAAAAATAAAATGCCAGGAAAAAGAACAACTTTTGAAGTCGCTCAGCTGGTGTATTATAACCATCAGATGGGACGTCAAGTCTCGGAACTGGCTGATATGTTTAATTTATCAAAAGCAACGATATACAACATATTAAACAGAGCCAATAAGGAAGATAGGCTAGAGGCAAAGCCAGTATGTGGTCGACCCTGCAAAATTTCTGACAGAGATAAGCGAAAAATTCTGAGAAAAATTGAGAAAAATCCACAAATTTCGCTTAGGGATATTGCTCAGGAGTTCAAGGAAGAAAGTGGTGTTGATGTGTCACATGAAACTGTCCGAAAATTACTGAATTCCAATGACTACACATCACGAGTTGCCAGGAAAAAACCTCTACTATCGGCGGCGAATATTTTGAAGCGGCTATCGTTCGCTCAAGTCCATGTAAATAGTTCGAACGATTTTTGGAGTAACGTCATATTCTGTGACGAAAGCAAGATGATGCTATTCTACAACGATGGGCCATCCAGAGTCTGGAGAAAGCCACTAACAGCGTTGGAAAACCGCAATATTATTCCAACCGTTAAATTCGGAAAACTATCAGTGATGGTGTGGGGGTGTATTTCGAGCAAGGGTGTAGGAGATTTGACCTTCATTGAGAATACCATGGATGCTAGACAATATCTGAGCATTTTACAGACACATCTCGTCAGTAGTGCACAGAAATTTGGATTCTATGAGGACAATAAGCCAATTTTTAAATTTTACCAGGACAATGACCCGAAGCATAAAGCTCATATGGTAAGAGTTTGGCTGTTGTACAACTGTGGAAAGGTGTTAGACACTCCACCACAAAGTCCAGATATGAATCCAATAGAAAATGTGTGGTCATATTTGAAAAAAAAAGTCGCAAAGCGGAGTCCAAAATCAAAAACTGATTTAAAAGCTGCTGTACTGGAAGAATGGCAGAAGATTCCAGAAACATACATACAAAACCTTATTGTTTCAATGAAACGGCGATTGCAGGCTGTATGTGACGCTAATGGCAGCCACACAAAGTATTAAAAAAAAATATTCCTGTTTTTTTAACATTGTTATTTAGTAATAAAGTTTCGTGTAAAAACACTTTATTGACAGCATAAAATTTGAATGTTTTTAGTTTTTTAATTTTATAAAATGTTTGGGTAATGTTATTTAACAATTCTTTTTGCCATTAAGTTCTAGGAAAAATATAGAATCGAAATAAATTAGAATTGAAAAAAAATTCTCACTTTTAGGTACATTTATTTTCAACTAAACCCAAAAAATTAGTTTTTTTTCGTTAGTCAAAACACTTTATTGACATACTGTATAAATTTTCACAAAAGAACGCAACACAAGAAAAAAGCACTTCACTTTAAAAATGGCTGCGCTTGGACTGATCTCTATAATCGAGTGGGCAGCTCGCATGCATGGTTGCCACTTATAAAACTAGCTTGTACCAACAACTACAACTAAGTGTACCATTTTTGATGAATGTGTACATGTACGTGTGGCAATTTAGGTTTAGGTTCGGAATGAAAGCATGTTTTTTTTTATTTTAAAATATTTATTTTATAGATTAATTGAAATGCTTTTAAGAGTTACCCAGAAACAGTAAAAAGTAATAAGTAAATAACTATTTATGTAAATATTGTATATGTACCATTGAATCAATTAGGTACCAGATAAGGTACACATTTAGCTCATATGGCAACTGTGTACAAAAGTGCATTCAATAAGTGTTGAAAAATAACAGTTACTTAAAATGGAATTGCTTGATGCAATAAATGCAAAGTAATTGGCAGAATATAAAAATATAATGTTTATAAAGGTATTTTTTAATAGAATTTAGGTAAACTTCTACGCTCCGCAGGCGCTGTGCTTGTCGAGAATATAAATACATGCATATGTAATCAAAATTCCTTACATTTGTATAGCAAATTTGATGTACCAGATGTTTGTACGCTATTAGTTAGATAATATTATTTACTAATTGTTGCTTTTCTATTATTTGCGCGTTGTTTTAAGTCCTGGCTGCAAGAAACGCATGGTTGCATTGTAAAACCTCATCAAGCCATTGGCCGCAGCTGCCGAAAGTAGTGTTGAGTAATAGTTGTGCCCAACACTGTTCACAGCTGTTGCGCCTTAGCTCATCTCTAATATATATGTGCATCTCGCTCACGCACTTGTTGCTCCTTAGTCCGAAATTAGTTTTAATTTATTTTACTTGCAATGCAACGATTTCTTAGTATATTTGGTGAACAGAAATGCAAAATTATTGGCATGATACATGTGGATGCGCTGCCAGGTAAGGCCGTGCCGCATGCAGCAGCAAACAAACGCATTTTCGCATTGATTTTAATTGAACAAAATACAAAAATCAAGGCACGCCTCGCTATGCCGGCAACTGGCAACAGAGCATTGAGAAGGCCAAGCACGAGGCGGAGCTGTACAAGAAACACAAAGTGGTAGGCAAAATAAAGCAATAAATGCATACCAATGCATATAGCCTAATATCTGCTATTCCACAGGATGCTGTGATCATTGAGAATATGCACGACATACCCTATGTGCAGGATCGTCTGCTGGGCCCTGAGATTGTGTCCTGCATGACCCGACTGTCGCAGGCTGTGCGCAGCATCATGCCCCGCCAGACGCCCTGCGGCGTCCAGGTGGTTGCCTGCGGCAACAAACAGGCGCTGGCCATAGCCAAGGCCTGCCAGCTGCAGTTCATACGTGCCGAGAGCTTCGTCTTTGGCCATGTGGCCGATGAGGGCTATACGGATGCGTGTGCCGGCGATTTGCTGCGCTATCGCAAGCACATCGACGCCCAGAATGTCCTGATCTTTACGGATATCAAAAAGAAGCACAGTTCGCATGCAATTACAGCGGATGTCAGCCTGCTGGAAACGGCGCAGGCCGCAGAATTCTTTCTCACCGACGGCATTATCGTTACGGGCGCGGCAACGGGCAAGGCGGCCAGTGACAAGGATGTTCAGGAGCTGTCGGGCAAGCTGAAGGTGCCGCTCATGATAGGCTCCGGCGTGACCAAGGAGAACATAAGTCAATATTACCCAGACGCACAGGCGGTCATCATAGGCTCGCACTTCAAGCACGATGGCAACTGGGAGCAGGACATCGACGAGCTGGCGCTGCAGAGCTTTATGCACAGCATCTGTGCGCTGCGAGAGGCGACGTAAAGCTGATCCATTTGTATTGTAAATGCTTTTATTGTGTATATAAATGAATTGAAATTGTGATATGATATGTGGCATAAACTAATTCTAGAAGAGATTGGCAAAAAAGTCATAAATACGCTCGCGTAGCGAGGGAGCAGCTTTTGTGGCGCCCGCATTGCTGCCGCTGCTGCAGCTGCTCGGGAATACAAATGGCTTCTGTTCGTACGCATCTAGCGTATCGTCAAACTTAACGCGCTTCTTTTGTGGCGCTGCATACAAATGTTCCTCCTGGCTGGATTTCAGCGTCATCTGGCCGGGCGTTGTCCAGCCGCCACTCGAGCGCAGCGGGTAGAGCACATCACAAAAGTTGCCCTCGCCCAGCTCCGCATCGAACAGATCCTCGCGCTTAACGGCCGTGGGTATGGTATTGTCCACGTTATGCGCACGAAAATAGGACTTGGAATCGGAGTAGCGACTGGCGAAACCATAGCTAGGATCCGTATCCTGCGGCTGGGCTGGATTCGGTTTGCTGCGCTTGAGTATGCCGCGCACATTGCCGGCCTTGTCGCCGCCGGTGGCAATCATTTTGTAGAGCCTAGAAATGCGATTCTCTTTGCTGGAGGACAGCTGCTCCTCTGTATTGAGTGGACGACGCAGCTGCACTGCGGGCGGCGGCGGCGCTGGACGCTTGACAGCCACCGACGAGCCTGCTGTGGACACCTTGGACGGATTTGGTGCAGCGCTGGGAAACTTGCGCTTGCGCTGAAAGCAAATGGTTTGGTAAGCGCCTGACAAATCCGCCTCCTCCTCGGAATCGGTGCTGCGATTCTTGTTGCGAAACACAGTCTCGTAATCCTGTCAAGTACAAAGTTTAGCTACAATTGGCACTGCTTGAGGATTGGCTACTCACGCATTTGCGTTTGTTGGGACTCAGTACATAATCGGCGCCAAATTTCTTCATGTCCTTCTTGCGTATGGGCGTCCGTTTGCTGGAGTCCTTGCGCAACGTTTTGCGGCACTGCACATGCAGATCGATGGCATCGCGTATGAAGCCCACCCAGGTGCGTGCCACCTGCAGATCATCGCTGCCAAAGATGATGCCATCGCTCTGGCAGGTCAGCTTGAAGTTGCCGGGCAACATCTCATAGACTTTGCATTTCTTGAGCGGAAAAATGCAGCAGCATTCGAGAGAGTTCTCCACCTGGGTATTGGGCGTGCGCTCCTTGATCACCTTGCAGTACATGAATATGTCCGACATGAGCACACAATAGCGCTTGATCTGCTGACCCTTGTGCGTGATCTTGTAGAGCATGCCCTCCTTGATGACCCGACGCGAGGGCTTCACAATGTTGGGCGTGCGATTGACGAGCGAGTTTTGTAGATGGATCAAATACTGTGTTATCTCCTGCTCCTCCACGCAGGAATTGATGTGCGAGGCCGTCGCCTCAAT